TCGCAATAGGACTAAGCCTTTGAGTAGTGTAGGGCTCCAAAGTGGGTAGGCCATTCCCCTGTGGTCTGACACACTCCAACTTTTGCCACACGGTGCGTGGTTTACCCACTCCGGAGTTTCACTCCCCTCCCCTAAGCTTAGTCGTAGGCGCTGTAGGTGAGAAAGCTTAGAAAAGCAGAAAGTATGCGTTAAACAGCACGAATGTGAAAAATGAGTGTCATATTCATGATCAGGGCCCCAAATAACCCCTATGCAGAAGTTTACAGTCGTCTCATCAAACGTCCATCAACCATTCCTCTTCCAGGTTCTCCAGAAGCTCTACCATCCATCTCTGCAAAAATAACCTACCTCCCTCTTCACTGCTAGTTAGCGGTCCACTTCTGGTTACCATTTCCTCGTTCATAATCAAATCCATGACTATCAAGCTTCAAACCAGGGTCAAGCGAGGCGTCGAGGAAAATTCGGAAATACGACCCCCCCCCCTCCCTCTGCCGAAGGCCGAAGTCCATGAAACAACCCTCTTCAAAAGCCGAACTATGAAAAAGTTGTTTAATTCTCCACCAAAACTGCTCATAAAAAAGCCCTGCTACCCCATCGTCCACAAAAAAACTCGTTTAAAAAGTATAAAAGTGAAAAAGTCAAAGAATGATCATTAATGACGAGTCCTGTCAAACGAGCAAACGAGAAAAAAAAAAAAAAAAAAAAAAAAAAAAAAAAAAAAAAAAAAAAAAAAAAAAAAAAAAAAAAAAAAAAAAAAAAAAAAAAAAAAAAAAAAAAAAAAAAAAAAAAAAGTCACTAAAAATGGCGTACTATGACAACACCTCTTCTTTGTTTATTTCCTCCACAAGACTTACCAAATTCTAGTACTACACAGATTATGGTTCTCAATTTACACGTCCCCCTTTCGCTCAAAGGAAGCCTTGTAAAAGCCTTCGCCAGCTGTGTGTTGACTGGACTTTGGCGTTGACCGTGGAGCAGCTTATTTACTATTGAAATTTGAACAAATATTCAAATGATTATAACTTTCTTCAAAGTTAACGAATTTTCAATCTGAAAGCTGATTTGGGAGTTTTGTGAAGAGCTTTTTCTAATCAGTACTGAAATTACAGGAAGTTATAAGAAATAACAAATTTAGATCAAATAACGAGGAAAATTCGAGACGAGTACGAGTTTTTACACTT